TTTGCGTTCAACTCAGCGCAGGGTTGCACGAAAAAAAAGTTGAATGGCTAAAAATATCAAAATATTCGCCATAAAAAGGTGTTTGCATTGTTCAATTTTGCATTAAACTTTTGGTTGGATGGCCTTTCAACTAATCGCTTTCAACAAAGTTGGTCGCCATTTAGCCATGCAACTTTTTTTTCGTGCAACCCTGCGTTGAGTTGAACGCAATTGTTGAACGCAAAGTTGAATAATGCAAACACTGCTTAAGGGCACAGCTATAAGAGCCACCGCACACCACAGACTTTATCGGCCGCCTATTTAAATGATAGGGCTCGCTTGAAATATGTAGATGAAGATGTATGGAGGTGCACACACTACACCAGCTTAATCGCTCTGACCAATAAGTTGTGGTGCAATGGAAAGACTAACGATCACATCTAACTAACATTGAAACTACCTTCTAAAAAATATTGTATCATGCTACCAATTAGGGCCGGTTGTTCAATGTCTGATTAGCACAAATCGGAGGTAGAAGCTCCGGTTAAGCACAACTACTACTTTATCGATCACATGTTACATGCATGATGTCGAAATCGTCGATAGTGTAGTGGTAGTGATAACCAGACATTGAACAACCGGCCCTTAGGGCCAGTTGCTCAAAGCCTGATTGACACTAATCACCGATTAACATCGTTATCGACGTTTTCGGCTCCATGCAAATAACATGGTGTCGGTAACGTCGATAACGATGTTTAACCGGGGATTAGTGTCAACTAGGCTCTGAGCAACCGGCCCTTAGTCTGTTCCAATAGCAGTCCGGTTTACAGGATTTAGTCAGAGCTTACAGGAAGTCGTTCCTATTGAGATAAAACCTGTAAGTGGGAACACTTTTGAGAGAGTAATTGAGCAACTGTTCCTAGTCAGAAGTTACAGGATTTAGTCCGGAGTTTTTTTCCCTGTAAGTTCATGAAAAGTGTCAAACGATCAGCTGATTTACATGTGCAAACAAAAACAGAAAGCGGGGAAAGCAAATAACCTTATATTTGTTAAGAATGGAAGTAAACAACGAAATATTTGAATATGTATAGATTTTAATAATTATTTAGTGATATTTCAGCCAAATCTGAAAAGCATTTTCAACCAGGTCTGTCTGTAAATCGACTTTTTGGCTCCTCAGATAGGAGATATCTTCCGCACAAGGCCTTCACGTGCTGGCCTCAACGGTGCGATTGTGATCAAATTTCATTCCCCTCTTGATCGCAATCGCACTCTCCGTGCTTTTGGCGACTATCGCAGGCGTATGAAGTCTGCTGTTCCCCTGCAACCTCTTGGCATCCAGGGGAATTTTCATATATTTGAAAGCCTAACCAAAGAGAATAGGCTGCTCTTGTAAGCGGCAATAAAAGTGCCACGTGAGGGGAAGTTGCAGTCTGCATTCACTCTCCGGGGCTTTGTGCATGTCAGATCAACAAATGATAAATCCAGCCAACCTACCAAGATTTTGTGTGAAGATGATCTGGAGCAGTTTCGCTAGTTGTAAGCCCATGTGTTTGTTTGATTGTATGTCTGTTGTTTTGTTTCTTGTTTGTTTTTGTAATATAAAGATAGCGAAACTCAATTTGTTCTGTTTTGGTTTCTTGTTTTGTCTTCATTTTTTTTTGCCTTAAAGTTGCTTTTACTTCTGCTGCTTTAAATGAGTGCGAATAATAGAAGTGCGAATGGCATTGAAGATAATAGCCTTGCAATGCTGAACATCTTGTGCAGGCGCCAAAAGGGGTTCAACGTTGTTGACTTTAATGCGCGCAGCTTGAATAATGGAAAAATGG